TGTGTTGCTAAGAGGCCCAAGGACATTTTGACTTTTAGCCCAGAAACTGGCTACATTTCTTTGGGGTCTTTTTACCCTAACTGTGTAGCCAATTCCTACCTCTTATTAAAAAAGAAATCTTTTTCTCTGATTAAATCTCAAAGCCACTGTGCAGGTCAGGAAGAAGTGAGCCTAGATTTAATGTTTTTATTGTACAATACACAGAATATACAATTGACCATTTTAACATTTTTAAGTGTGTGGTTCAAGAGCATTAAGTATATTCACAATGTTAGGCAAGCATGGTTTGTGATGTGACTCGGTTGGTAGAGTAGTTACCTAGCTAGCATGCATGAGGCCCCGAGTTTGAGCCCCAGAAACACATAAAGTGGTATGATAGCAAATTCTTCCTCAGCCCTAGGGAGGTAAAGGCAAGAGGATCAGAAGTTGCAGGTGATCCTTTGCTATATAGCGAGTCTGAGGGAAGCCTGGGATACATGAAACATTGTCATAAAAGCAAAAAGTTAGGTTGGGTGTGGTGGGGCATGCCCTTAAACCCGGTACTTGAGAGGTAGAGGCAGGTGAGTCTCTATGAGTTCCAGGCCACCAGCTAGTGCTACATGGTGAGAACCTGTCTCAAAATTATAAAAATAAATAAATAAACTTCTGATATATTTTTTAAGTTAGGTAACCATCTCTACCCTCCACCTCTTCTTCTGCCTTGTAGAATAACTGCCTTATATTTGTGACATTTGTAGAGGGATTCGTCAGAAGAGGGCTTCAGATTCCCCTGGAACTGGAGGTAAGGACGGTTCGTAGCTGCCATGTGGGTGCTGGTAATCGAACCCGGGTCCTTGTAGAGGGATTCTTTAAAAAGCATAAGCATAGGCCGGGCGTGGTGGCACACGCCTTTAATCCCAGCACTTGGGAGGCAGAGGCAGGTGGATTTCTGTGAGTTCAAGGCCAGCCTGGTCTACATAGTGAGTTCCAGGACAGCTGGGACTACAAGGAGACCCTGTCTCAAAAAAGACAAAAGAAAAAAAAAAAAAAAAAAAAAAAAAAAAAAAAAAAAAAAAAGCATAAGCATGAAAAGTTCTGAGGGCAGTTGTGGCACAACTGTAATCCCAGCATTTATGAGGCAGAGGTGGGATATTTGAGGAAAATTTGAAGCCACCCTGGTCTACATAGTAAGTTCTAGGCTAGTCAGAGATACACAGCAAAGCCTTGCATCAAAAACCCAAAATCGGGGGCTGGAGAGATGGCTCAGCAGTTAAGAACACTGACTGTTCTTGCGGAAGACCCGGGTTTGAATCCCAGCACCCACATGGCAGCTAGCAACTGTCTGTAACTCTAGTTCCAGGGGATCCGACAGCCTCTTCTGTCCTCCGCAGGCATTGCATGACATGGGTGCACTTACACACATGCAAACAATACATGCATACACATAAAATAAAACTAATAAATATTTTTTAAAAACCCAAATCAATCAGTCAACCAATCAATGAATCAGTCAGAGTTTCCCAAAAATTGGCCTGGGTTTCTCAGACATTTTGTCCAGTTATGGGAGATTGCTTACCCCAGAAGGCACCAGGTCTACTTAGAGAAGTTATAATCACATGGACTAGCACAAGCAGGTACTGCTTCTGTCTGGACAGATAGAGAAAGGCCTGTCCAGGGTCCGAGGCATCTCTAAGCAGCAATTAACATGCTCTTGGTGTAAGGGACACTGCAGGAGCTTCTGTGGGGCCCTGCTGAATTGAGGATGAGGCTGACTCAGTTACTGGACTGGACTGACCACTGTGGATGGTCCAGAGGTATTCATTATGGGAATCCTTGTCAGCTTCCTATGTCTATCCTTCCATCCCACAGTTTGTCCTGTCGTGTCCCCCCGCCCATGTGATTGTGAGGCCATGAGTCAACCACCCTCCCTTTTTTATTCACTTAACGCTGGGTAGGATAATCTTTATCCTAAGCCCTTCTGGGCTTTCCCCATTTGAAAGACCCAAATCCTGCTTAATCTAAGCAGAAAGCCTTCCAGCGTGATTCATCAGCTGCCTCTTTGTGGTGTTACAGGAAGTTAAAATCTCTAGCCCTGATTACAAAGATTGCAACTCGGCAGAAGCCATGGACGACTTCATGAAGAGAATCAATTGCTATGAAGCCAGCTACCAGCCTCTTGACCCTGACAAATGTGACAGGTAATCCCCAGAGGTGGCAGTCCTGAATTATCTGCATGAGGGCTCATAATGTTTTCTGGATGTTTCCATAAAGAATTTGTCATAAACTCCCTTTATAAATGCCTTTAAGGGGGAGAGGCCTCCGAGGCCCCACCCTTGGTGAAAGAGCTTCTAGCAGTTGATAGCTGCTGAGAGAGGAAAAATCATTATCCTTTGGGAGTGGGACCCGCGGTAGGTTGCCCATGCCCGGTGGATGGCCCCACCCACACCCACGCACATGTGAGCAGCATTGACTGGACTCAGGATTATTAATAATAAAACAAAATAAAAGGGTGTAAAATTGGGAGGGGGCACTAGAAGAAGTGTGAATGGACATTGTGTAGGTACGCAGGAGCCTGGCTTGTGCTGCCTGCTGCCCTCTGTCTCCTCTCTTCTGGGAGGCCGTGCAGTTTCCTCTTCCTCTTGTCTTCTTTTTTTTGTGGTGTAATGGATCAGACCTAGAGCCTGGCTCATGCAAGGCAAGTTCATGGCACGGGCCCTGTCCCCAGCCTGCTCACATTTTCATTTTGAGATAGGGTCTCACTAGATTGCCAGGCTGGCCTTGACCTCCCTCTGTAGCCCAGGCTAGCCTTGAACTCCCTCTATATTCCAGGCTGGCCTTGAACTCCCTCTGTATCCCAGGCTGGCCTTGAACTTCTGTTTCTCCTGTTTTGCCTCCCAAGCTTGGATTATGGGCCTGCACCACCAGACCCAGACAGCTGACTTTTAATATGTGTGTGTGTGTGTGTGTGTGTGTGTGTGTGTGTGTTATAGGTACGTGTTCATACAACTGTGTACAAGTGTGTGGAAGCCAAAGGTTGACCTTGAGTGTCTTCCTCAATTGCGCTCCACCTTATTTTTAAAAATTTGTTAGCTGGGCATGGTGGCACATGCCTTTAATCCCAGCACTCAGGAGGCAGAGGCAGGCGGATCTCTGTGAGTTCAAGGCCAGCCTGGTCTACATAATGAGTTCCAGGACAGCTGGGGCTACAGGGAGACCCTGTCTTGGAAAAAGACCAAAAAAAAAAAAAAAGTATTAACTAGTTTTTTACATTTATTTATTTACTTGTGAGGTTGTGTGTGTGTGTGTGAGAGAGAGAGAGAGAGAGAGAGAGAGGCATTCATGCATGGATTCATGCATGTACCATGACACACATGCTACAAGAAGAAGCTACAAGAGTTGGCTTTCTCCTCCTACCATATGGGTCCCAGGGATCAAACCCAGGTCATCACTTTGTTTTGAGGATTTTTGGGTTTTTTTGAGGCGCTTTCACCATGTAGCGTTGACTGGACTGAACTCGCTGTGTGGACATCCACTGGCCTCTGCCTCCCAAGTGCTGAAGTAAAGGCATATACCTCCACACCCAGCTGCCACCTTATTTTTTTGAATCAGATTTTCTCACTGAACCTGGAGCTCACTGATTCAGCTAGGCTGCCAGACCAGTGAGCTCCAGAGATCCACCTGTCTCTTTTTCCCCAGCTCTTTGTGCTGGTCCTGGCTATTTGTGTAGGTACTGGAGATTTGAACTCAGATCCTCATGTTTGAATGGCAAGCACTTTGCTGACTGGGCCATCTCCCTAGACCCACCAGCTGTCTTCTTGACCAGCCTGGCTATGGGAATTGTTGCTTTGCATTTACTACCTGACTCCTAGAGAAGACCCACTCTTCTTCCTGCGAGAGCCAACTACAGTTTGTTGTTGCAGGCCTCCCAGGGCAGGGTATGCTGGCTGTGGGCATGGGGAGGCCCACATGGTGGCCCTCAATGATGTTTCTCTGCAGGGACTTGTCACTGATCAAAGTGATTGACGTTGGCCGGAGGTTCTTGGTAAATAGAGTTCAGGACCACATCCAGAGTCGAATTGTGTACTACCTGATGAATATCCACGTGCAGCCCCGCACCATCTACCTGTGTCGGCATGGCGAGAATGAATACAACCTCCAGGGCAAGATTGGGGGTGACTCGGGCCTGTCTGGCAGAGGCAAGAAGGTAGAGGAGAGAAGACGGGCTGGGGGCTGACTGAAAGAAGAAGAATGACTAGTTCCATCCGTTGTAGAATGATAGGGCTCTGGGGAGGATGGAATGTGCTGTATATGCCTTGCTATGCTGTGTGTGTGTGTGTGTGTGTGTGTGTGTGTGTGTGTGTGTGTGTGTGTGTGAGCACGCATGAGTGCGTGTGTGTGCATGGTGGATAGTATGGACTGGGAAGAGGGTGGAGCCAGGTATCCTGGGCTCTGATAAGGGTGTCATATGGGGTTTGGACAGCCTTGGTGATTGCCATGTCAACATAGGACAAACTTTCATGGAAGGAGCTGGATCCTAGAGTCAGGGTGACATTTCTCTCCTGTGGTCTCTCTCTCTCTCTCTCTCTCTCTCTCTCTCTCTCTCTCTCTCAGTTCGCCAGTGCCCTGAGCAAGTTCGTGGAAGAACAGAACCTGAAGGACCTTCGTGTGTGGACCAGCCAGCTGAAGAGCACCATCCAGACAGCGGAGGCACTAAAGCTCCCCTATGAGCAGTGGAAGGCACTCAATGAGATCGATGCCGTGAGTCCCAGGCTGGCGAGGCTGTGGGGAGGCCTACTGGGGAGTGGAGTTCTCTTGAGGCTTCCCTGGAATCTGGGTGGCTTCTAAGAGACCTCCTTCGCTGGAGGAGTCCCCTAGATGTGTCCCCTGGAGTGAATGCTGGTCTTCCCACCAGGGTGTGTGTGAGGAGCTGACCTATGAGGAGATCAGGGACACCTACCCTGAGGAGTACGCACTTCGAGAGCAGGACAAATACTACTACCGATATCCAACAGGCGAGGTGAGCATGGAGTCCGCTGGCCTTTCTTCATAGCAGTGGTGTGTGTCATGTGCAATAGGCTGAGAGAAGACTATGGGGGCCCCAGTAGAGCCAAGTGACCCTTCCCAAGGGCTCTCTACCCCACCCATTTCCCACCAGCTCTGTAAACTCATTCCTATTATTGCTACCTGGGTTTTGAGTCTTACTAAATGGAACCTTGTAAAAAGGCCCAAGAGAAGTGCAGTTGTATTTCCCATATCATTATTATAATTTTAATATGTATGACTGCTGTGCCATCTCTCCAAACCAAGCTGGTCTTTTTTTGTTTGTTTTAAAAGTTGCAGCTTTACTGTTTGCTGTGTAGCCCAGACCTGCCTTGTTTTCTGTCTTGCCTCAGCCTCCCCAGTACTGGGATTACAGGTGTTCTCAACCACATCTGGCTACATTTTTGTTGTTTGAGATAGGGTCTCAATATGTAGCTCAGGCTGCCTTGAACTCATAGAAATCCTCCTGCTTTAGCCTCAGAAGGATCGGTAGATGGATGGTTGAATGGGTGGGTGGATGGATGGGTGGGTGGATAGATGGTTAGGTGGATAGATGGTTAGGTGGATGGAAGGATGGATGGATGGATGGATGGATGGTTAGGTGGATGGGTGAATGGGTGGCTGGATGGTTAGGTGGATGGGTGGATAGAAGGATGGGTAGATGAATGGATGGATGAATGTGAGTGGATGGATGGATGGTTAGGTGGATGGATGGGTGGATGGTTAGGTGGATGGGTGAATGGGTGGCTGGATGGTTAGGTGGATGGGTGGATAGAAGGATGGGTAGATGAATGGATGGATGAATGTGTGAGTGGATGGATGGATGGTTAGGTGGATGGATGGGTGGATTAATGGATGGATGGATGGTTAGGTGGGTGGTTAGGTAGATAGGTGAATGGGTGGATGGCTGGATGGATGAGGAGATGGATGGGTGGATGAATGGATGGATGGGATGGTTAAGTGGATGGGTAAGTGGGTAGATGGCTGGACTGTGAGCTGCCTGGTTTATGATGATGGAAGGCTGCAGGTAGTGGCAGGGTTCTTCCCTGACTGTCCTCTCTTCTAACATGCTGTCCCATCCTTTTATGCTCAGTCCTACCAGGACCTTGTCCAGCGCCTGGAGCCCGTGATCATGGAGTTGGAGCGCCAGGAGAATGTGTTGGTCATCAGTCACCAGGCAGTCCTGCGCTGCCTACTGGCCTACTTCCTCGATAAGAGTGCAGGTATTGAGGGCCAGCGATAGCCCAGGAAAGAGGGAGGAAGGAAAGGGGCCCTTGAGTGTGAGCAGTGGGCCCAGTTTTTCTTACCCTACTGTGTGTCTGCATATTGGGCTTCACAGACTGCCTCATGGCCTGCTGAGGGGTCCTCTCCACCTGTACCTGCTTGATGGTTCTTGAAATGCTGTTAAACAGTGTGATGCTCAATGGGCTTCATCACTTTATAAACCAGCCTCTGAGAGCCCTTATCTGCCATGCAAACTAAGAACCTTTGAGTTGGATGTGAAGCTCTATTAGTGGGCTCAGAGTGCTCGAGGGTATCTCTCTGTGCCTCAGGTCTCCTGTCTAACGATGAAACCTTATGCCTCTTTTCAGAGGAGATGCCATACCTGAAATGTCCCCTTCACACCGTCCTGAAACTGACACCTGTGGCTTACGGTGAGTAGCAGCCCCTCCTTCCTCCAGGGACCAGGGTCTCCTGGTGACTGTAGATGGGAATGATCCCTTTAACAGAACCTGTCTTCTCCATCCTTCACTCTCAGGGTGTCGTGTGGAATCTATCTACCTGAATGTGGAGTCAGTCAGCACACACCGGGAGAGGTCAGAGGTGAGTTAGACCCCGGATGCCATGGGACCCTTGGGAAGTCCTGGGTCTAGTCACCTTGTGGGTAGTTCTGAGTTTTTTGGTGGCACCCAAATGCCTGGTTGTTGAGACGGGTGCCTCTGTGTTCCTGGCCTGTCTTTATGGTGGTTTCCTGGGCTCTCTTCTTTTTCTTTCTGTCTGTGCTCTCCCCTTCCACCTCCTGTTTCTTCTTGACCAGAAGTGAGTATTAAACAGGGAGCTCTTTCCTCCTCTTCTAACTGTAGCCCAGCACATTAACTGTTGCCTCTTCAGGCAGCCAAAGCTGCGCTTTCTTGAAAGTGTCAGAGGCCCAAACAGGATTAGCCAGTCAGCACGGTTATTGCATGCACTTAAGTTCAGAATTAGCAATGATTCCACAATATGGAAGGAGAAAGCAGGGCTAGAGAATAGGGAAGTGAGGGGTGACTGAGGAAACATGGTCAGGAGACCCAGGGCCTGGCTGCTGCTGTCTTCCACCTTGGGGAGGTCTGAGATCCGGGTGGTTGGTCGTGTTGAATCCCTTACTGGGCAGATTGCGTATCTGTCTAGGTCTGTGTTGTGAAAGTGGGTTTAAATTTGCTTTATGCAGGCTGTCAAAATACAACACTTTGCCAGTATAGTCAGACCTTCCTCTTACACCGAACTTGACTTTCTGTCTGTGGAGTCCGAAAAACAGGTGACTTCCCTATTCCTAAGGAGTTTGGCCATCAGACTTTGGCAGGAAGGGCACATGGGGTATGAGCTATTTTAATGTTCACCTTGCGCTGAGGACTTCACTGGAAGAGGACCATGTCTCTTGGCAGCCTCACCCTGTCTCCAGGACCCGCCTGTCTAAACCAGGGCTCCTGGAGGATATGCTCATGTCAGCAGGAAAAGGACAGCCCTGATACTGAGCTTGGGTCTGAGCTGTACTCCAGGGGCCTCAGAACACTCCCTTGCTGAGTACTGGGCCAGAGACAGACCTGGGCTTTGAGGTCCTGGGCCGTGCAGGGGTCCACATTCCTGTCACATCATCCTCCCATTAGAAGGATGATGCCTGGTCCTACCTGGCTCCTGCCTGTTTTTTGTACCTTTGTCTCTTGGTTGGTCTGAAGCCTCTATGTCCTGTACTCAGGCTGGGTACTGTTCAAGTGGGCACAGAGTATTCCTTGGGGGTGATGCAGACTCAGGAAGAGGGGAATCGGCCTTGATGCCTTTCCTTTCCCCTGAGCTCAGACCCAAGTGTCCCTTGTGGGCCCTCTGGAGGTGGGGTGGCTGATAGCAAGGTTCTTTTCTCTGACTCCCCTCTATGCTATGGGTGTAATTTTTTTCCTCCTCTGCTCTGCACATAGCACATTTGTCCATTTGGATGCCCTTTGGAATGACCCAGGGAAGTTCCATTGCCCACAGCAGCTCAGGGTCAAGGCCGCTCACTTTGGTCCTTCTGGTTACATCCCTGAATATCCAAGAGCAGGACTTTAGTGTGGCTTACCTCCCTCCCTCCCCACTCGTTGTAACTGTCGCCTTCTCTCTTTTGTCTTTGTCTTGCTTAGGATGCAAAGAAGGGGCCTAACCCACTCATGAGACGCAATAGTGTCACCCCACTAGCCAGCCCCGAGCCCACCAAAAAGCCTCGCATCAACAGCTTTGAGGAGCATGTGGCTTCCACTTCTGCTGCCCTGCCCAGCTGTCTGCCCCCGGAAGTGCCCACGCAGCTGCCCGGACAAGTTAGTGATTCTGCTTTCATTCCTGCCTAGAGGAGAAAGTACTCAGGGGTTACGATCCCCAGACTGGGACTGTGTGTTCATATTTGCGGGCACTGGTGCACGTCTGTGTGCTGTGTGGGTGTGCATGTGTGTTCTCTCTGTGTGTGCGTGTGTGTGTGTGTGTGTGTGTGTGTGTGTGTGACACACTTTCAGGTCTTTCCTTGTCAACAGTGACTCTGCCCTTTCTGAGACTGGGGTCTTCACTGAGCAGAACCAGGCAGAGCAGAAGACAGCATAAAATGTCCCAGTCCTGTTCACATCTGTGAATAGTTATCTCTGGAACCGTCTATATGTTATGGCAATTCCTAATCCAGGAGTCTCTGTCTACCCTTGGACTCTCAGGTATCTGTCCATGTGGACTGAGGACATCTTTTGTATCCTGCCCCATGGCTGACTCCTTTTCTGTGACAGAAAAGCTGAGGTCCAATGGGCCCAGAGCCCGTCCCCTCCCCCAAACCAATGTAGCCCAGCTCCCTGGGTCCAGACCGAAGAGATGCTCTGCTAGAAAAGTACTTTTCCTTGTAACTCTGAGGACCTAAGTTTGGATTCTCAGAATCCATGTAGAAAGCTGAACTAGAGGCTCACATTGTAATCCCAACGATGGTAAGATGGGAGGCAGAAACAGGCTGATCCTTAGAAGCCCACAGGCCAGCTAGCCTCGCCTATGCGGTGAAATTACAGGCCAGTAAGAGGCCCTGTCTCAAACAAAGGGCAAAGCTACCCGGGGATGGACATCTGAGGTTGTCGTCTGAACTCTACATGGGTGCTATATGAGTGTCCACCAGCACCCGTATACATAAACACAGCACATACAAAGAACCAGGCAACCCAGCTGTCACGCTGGATAACCAGGAAGGAGAGACCTACCATCTCGAGGCAGAGGTAGGTGGATTTCTGAGTTTGAGGCCAGCTTGATCCATATAGTGAGTTACAGACCAGCCAGGGCTACATAGCGAGACCCTGTCTCAAAACAGAAAACAAAACAAAACCAAGAACAATAACCAAAACAAAAAACTCAACCCAGCCAGATTTCACTATTTCACTAGCTTGAAAGATTAAAGGTTGCAAGAGTTTGGCTATTGAGCATTAAAATTTGTTTTCAGAAAAACAATTGTTTCCTTAAAGATAGCCAAGAACCTTTGTGAACATGAGATGTAGACATCTCACATATCAGATTTACCCCAGCGACACATCCATGGCTAGCCTCTTACAAATCAATGCAGGCTGAATTTCAAACTGGGTTTGCTCATGAGCTCAATGCCTGGCTACCTCTAGGGGTCGTGCCTGCAGCCCACCAACTTTGTCTTCTTTCTCTCTAGCTTCTGTTTAAACCTCCCTGTGTCTAGAATATGATGTGAGAAAAGTATTGAGGTCTCCAAACCTTATTTAACCTCTCCAGGCCTCAGTTTTCTGATCTGTGAAATGGGAGAGTAATACACCCTGCAAAAGGTGGCTGTGAGAAGGCAGTGTGCTGTATCTGTCATAAAGTAAAGACTGTATCCAATGAGATGAATGATTCATGTGGAGCTGGAAGACCTGGCTTTGGCTGTATCTTTGCCACTAACATGAGTGGAGGATTTTTTTCTTTTCCCTTTTGGACACAAGACCTTTGTATGTAGCTCAGGCTGACTTTGGGATACAGTCTTGGTGTGTTCTGTCTTTGCTTCTCAACTGAGTGTAAGATTTTTGTTGTTGTTTGGGTCGGGGGTGGCAGGCAGGGTCTCAAGTAGCTTAGAGGCTGGCTGTGAACTCACCATGTCGCTGAGAATGACTGAATCGGTCTTCTCTTCCACCTCCCAGGTGTTGGGATTGCAGGCCTACACTCTATACCTGGCAAGTGTAAGAATTTTAGTGACCATGTCACTTGGCCAGCAGACATGGGACAGGGAGAACCCTAGTAAATACTCCTTTCTGCCTCCAATCTTAGGATTTTCTAACGTCAGTCGAGCAGAACTGAAATCTCATCTCTGTGTCACTCTGTTCTGGTGCATCCGGAGGTGTCTTCTATTGAAAAGGCTTGAGGGGACTAACCTAGGCAGGAATGGGTGACACCCAGAGCTACACTGATTTGGTTATGTACACTGTGACTAGGGCCCAGTCCTGTCCCCCACATCACAGCTGCTGCCCCTGACTTTAATAGAACAGCCTTTCAGCATTGCCTCGTCCTCCAGGACAGATGTCTGGGAGCTGGTGGCTGGCTCAGGCATGGGGGTGTGTTGGGGTTAGCTCCACCAGCTGCTCTCCAGCCTTCTGACTAACTCTCTCTCTCTTCCTCTCTCCCTCCATTGTCTCCCGGCAGCCTTTGCTAGGGAAAGCCTGTCTGTAAGTATTCCTCTCAGTCCTGTCGCATGCGCTCAGGCTTGCTTGTTTTCCAAGTTGGCCTTTTTTCTGTTGAATTATTTAGGATGAAGACAGTTTGGGTGGAGTCTGAGGTTGTCTATAGAGGAGAAAGGGATGGATGTGGGAGGAAGGAATTCATGAAGTTTATAGAGAAGGATGTAGGACGGGGACTACTCCTGGCCAAACTAGTGTTCAACCTGTTCCAAGGCCATGACAGCCTAAGGGTGCTACCCTCCACCTTCTTGGGGTGTCTGTAATGGTCACAGTCTGGGGCTTGACATCAGTGCCAGATTTCCCTCTTAGATCAGATTTTGATGGCGACTGAGGCCAGGGCCTGCTAACTATTGGCTTTTACTAACCACTCCAACCCCACCGAAAGAGTAGCCTTTTATTCTGAAAGTAAGATTTCCAGAGCCAAATATATAAATATATGAGGACCTACCGGAATGGCATGTGGTGGTGCCTGGTGCTCCTCCAAGAAGCCCCTCACACTCTGCAGTGGTCTCAGACACTGTACGTGGGGATCCCACTTTAAGTCGCGATCAGAACTGGCTGCAGCTTTGATTGTGGACCCATCATGTGACCCCCTCCTTTGACCAGAGCCCTGTGAAGGACGTCTCTGGTTGCCCATTGGCTCTGGCAGCTGCCACGTTGTGAATGCAGCATTTCAGCTGCTCAGCTGGTCCCCGCTGCAGAAAGAGCCCAGGCCTTTATAATTCAATCATCATCAGATGCCACCACACCAGTAGCCCCACTGCTCCCCTGTTCTTCCCTCTCTGCTCCTTAGGCTACCTTGATGAGCTGGTTGGTGCAGGAATTGGGAAGGTTCAGGTCATCCCACGAGTTGAAAAGTGGGACTCAGTTTTGAGAAATAGCAGTGGTCTGGCATAGCGCCTGGGTCAGGTGTACTAATGGGGCTGCGTAACTCACAAACAATGGGATAGCCTAGCCTTTGCATCTCTGGTCCTTAAATAACACTGAAAGATTGGCAGGATGTTCCTCTGTTTAACAAATGAGGCAAGTGGCCTGTGCAGGGCCACCAGCTGTTAGGCAGTAGAGCGGAGGCCCAAACAGACAGTGTGCTTTGGAAGGCTGATTTCTTCCTCCCCGCCAGCTTCTGAGAGTGACTCTGGTACTGTTCTGCATCTGTCTCTAGTCCCCTCATCTTTGAAGCCTGTGGGGCACTGTGAGTAGTCGCTGGTCTCTGATTTGAAGCCTCCTCCCATGGCCCCGGGAGGGCCTTGGCTGTTAAAACTTCCCTCTTGAAAGGGTATGACATGCTCACGGTCTGCTGTCTGTTGTCTCCGTCACCAGCCTGTGGACTACTTGAGGACCGGGTGTTCTCGCAGAGCCTTTGGTTTTCAAACCTTACAATTTTGCATCTGCACATATCCCATGTCTTTAGAAAGAAATCTTCCTGCTGGGAAGAGACCATTCATATCCGCTCTCTCTCACGCACCCATTTGAAGCTGAACTTCTTCATTTCCCAAGTGAATCTAGTAGGGCATTTGCCTAGAACCGTTTCAGTTGAGCAGAGCTACATCCCGTAGACTTATCACCCGTGACTCTGGTCAGATTCTCTTTGGGAGCCTAGTCTGGGAGCATGACCTCAGGAAATGTCTGAATCTAGGAATCAACCTGGGTCCTGAAACCGAAATTAATGAACTCATTTGGATTTTGAGATAATAATATCTTGTTAGGTAGCTCTGTTTAGCCTGGAACTTACCATGTATCCAAGGCTAGCCTCAAACTCAAAGGAATCCTCTGTGTCAGCCTTCCAAGTGCTTGGACTATGAATATGTACAACCATGCCTGACTTCTAGAATTTGTTTTGAAAGTCAGACCAAGCCAACTTTGCCACTGTCTTTGGAGCTCTAGGCAAGTTGGGCCAATTCTAGGACATCAATATTCTCATCTGAAAATGGAAATAATAACTCTGTAAGGCATTTTGATAATGAGAAGATAGATGTAACATGGGGAAAATACCCAGTACCCAATAAAGGCCTGATGGGTGATGGCTGTGTTATTCCCAGGGGAGACCTATTGCTCTAGGTCTTGGATGTTTTTGGCCTAAGCCAGTGGAATTTTTTTCTCAGAGCAGCTGGAGTGCTCAGACTTGGAAACAGGGAAGGCCCATCAGCTTGTTCTTCTCACAGACTGAATGACAACCCAGACGGTGTCCTTGGTAGTGTCTTCCTGAGAGATGTGCTGTTTGGGATCAAGATACTGCCTGCCATTCCTAGTGTGTCTTTCAATTAAAAACTACAGGTGCACACTAGGAAAGACCGCTAGAGTTGGCAGGATAGCTCAGTTGTTAGAGGATTTGCCTAGGATGCATGAGGCCCTGGGTTTGATTTCCCAGCAGTCCATAAGCTGGGCATGTTGGCACACATCTCTGATCCCAGCATCTAGGGATGAGGAAGAGGTAGGAGGATCAGAAAATCAAGGTCATCTAGGCTGCATAGAGAGGCTAGCCTGGGTTAAATGAGACCTGTCTCAGAAATGAACAAACCAGTACAAACAGAAAATACTACTAAAAGATTTGTTTCCCTTTTCCAACCTGTTTTTTTTTCCTTCCCCCTTATGCTTGAAAGATGAACTGTCTGTCACATTTTCTCAAAGTTTTCTCCTTACTAACCTTGGAAAGGTAAATGAGCTGGTGCATGCCCCCTGTTGCCTCCCGCATCTCTCTGAGTCATGGCATCTCAGCTGTGGGGCATCTTGGTCTATGTGCAGACTGGCCATCGTGGAGTTATGTGGTTCATGTGTTGGTGCTGGAGGGCCTTACAAGTAGTGACATTGTGTGAGGTCCTTCCCCGTCTGTCTCTGCCTTCATGTGTCCCAGCCCAGGGCCCCTGAGTGAATGACATGGACATGACTCACCTGTGACTCTCCGGTGTTATTATTACATTACCATCATGTGCGGGTGCTGGAGGCCTGTGGTGTGGCAGGGAAAGTGGCAGCAGCCCTTTGTTCTTTGACCCCACAACATAGCTGGGGTTCGCTAGACACAGGATCCCAGGGCATACCAGGAGAACTCCTATTTCACAAGGCCCCATTGCCTGGATCCCCATTTCTTACCCAGATGTGAATGATCACTCCAGTGCTGTCCAGCATTGAGCATCCCTTGTACAGACATCCCCAATTGGAGCCCTCAGTTCTGTGGGTAGAGAACAGCTCTTGCACCCCTACCTGCCTGGACTCCATCTCTCCGCCATCCTGCCCCTGGTAGAGCAGTCTTGGGGGAGACATTCAGTCCCAGAGAGACTGCTTGAAAACATTTCCTTTTTGAGGGATTAGAGGAGGGGTTTTCAGGGAGAGCAACCTGCTGGGTAGTGGCAGCAAGCATATATCTCCAATGGAATTAACATTTGAAAAGGGATCCTGATACCAGCCAGTGGGGCTACTTAGATCAAGACTGGGGCAGACTTTAGCGACCCTGGCCTCCTCTGCTTAGGCCTCCCCTATGCGTCCAGCCATCCCACTCATCTCTTGTGTTCTGTTGAGCTTTGTGCCCAGATTCTGGACCCCAGTAGCTGAGTGCATGGCTCTGCTGTTAGCTGATTGCAGACAGGTGCTGTGCTGCTTTACAGAGCCCCAGCCCATCTGGATCTGGTCCATGCAATGTGGGAGGACTCCATGCGGCACAGAGGACAGCCCTGGGCTTCTGAAGGGGCGAGAGCCGGGAACATCAGTCTTTGCCTCATGGTCTCCTGTCCTCTCCAGCAGCTCCGTCTGACCCACTGGAGCTGCAGGTCCCTGAGGCATATACCTATTCCACGGTTGCTTTCCATCCCCTTCTGGCTGGAAACCAGCTCAGTGCTAAGCAGGGACCTTGCCCATGTCTATCTAGCTCTTTCTGTGACCTGGGTTATTTTCTGTTGTGTTTTGAGGCCTACCTGGGTTCTTCCACATGTTCTGTGATGACTCTCTTGGGGTGTGTTCTTTTGGGGAATAGAGGGAGGAGGAGATGTCTTGTGGCGTGGCTTTGAGCCTTCTGCTTGAGAAACGCAACCATCAACAAGTCCTGACTCTTTCCTTCCTCTCTGTGTCCTGGAAACAGAACATGAAGAGCTCCCGGAGCGGTGCCGACTTCTAGAAACGTTGAAGCAGACACCTGGGTTCCATTCCATTTCCATTTCTACGGCTTGCCTTGCGCCCTCCCATCTACCAAAGGCCAGATATACCAAGGACTTCTGGACTGGGGTGGGTTGAGGGAAAAGAGGGGGTTCCTTTTGGCTGAAGAGCAGCTCCACCCCCACAAATGTTGAGGTGGCAGACACAGTAGAAAACCCTGCAGATCCCTGCATCCTGGGGCAAGCTGAGACCTCCCTATCCTCTGTTCTTCTCGAGCTTCCATGGGTGTCGGATCTCACAGAAACCTCACAAGGCTTGGGAGGACCACAGAACTGGAGGCGATGAGACAAAACCCCTAAGTGGGGATGCTGGGTGCCACTGTGCTGTTTTGCTTTGTTTCTTTGGATCCTGATCAGGCATGATAGTTGAGAGACAAGACTGGCAAAGAATCTTGAAATTAAGGATGATTTAGAACCCCAGTCACCAGAGGGTCAGGGATGTTCAGACACGTGGCTCTTTTATTTATGCATCTTGCCCTGAACGGATGCCTCAGTGACAAGGGTCTTGGCCACACGCTGCATTGTTCTGAGAAGTCCCTGAGCTGAGGCCCACCTGTCAGCTGGGCAGTGACATGCCCTGACTTCTCTGCACGTTCACCTGCCTTCTGGGCCCTGAGTTAAGGGACAGACTCGCTGTGTCAGTGAAAAGAAGCATTCTGCTGAAAGATGGTAACTGGAGGTTCCTGGGCCTTCTGTTCTCCTCCGTGGGCCCAGAAGTACCTGAGCAAATCCTGTGGCTGTTTGCTTTGCACTTTTTTTTGTGGCAAAAGTCACACCTCTCTCAAGGAACTTATATGTAAGGGTGTTGGCCCTCTAGGGCCTGGAGCTGGTGGATGTGAGGAGCTGGATGTGTTCATGGGGTGAAGAAGCTCAAAGCCTCCAACTCTGGGAGGTGACCCAGAGCGTCAGCCTTCCTTCCTTTAGGATGCTTGTCACCCACATTTCCCAGGAAGGGGCGATGGCCCACGTAGGGCTCGATCCAGGCCACTTGCTCTCAGAGCTGTCTCCACGTTTTGGTCAAGTGTCTGCTGTGTGCCTGGCACCATGCTGTGTGTTTTGAGTTCACAAGTCTACAACATTGTCCTTCCCTTGGCTTCATGGTGCCTGTGACATTTTTGCATGGGTTGAAAGCAGGGTTTATGAGACATGTTGCAACTACCTATAGTTTGACCGACCGGTTTCTCTTTTGTCCACTCAGAGCCTGGGGAAGAGGGGGATATCTTAAGCCCAGAAGAAACCATTTAGAAACTCAACGGTATAGTTAGGTCAGGTGACCCCACAGCTGGTGCGAAAGGTCACTTTCCCTCCTGCCTTCTTCTTGTAAGCCCTGGGGATCCAGCCCTTCCTAGCTCAGGGAACAGGCCCCGAGTGAAGGTGGGAGATGCATACATCTGCAGCTTCGAGTGGAGAGGAGAGCTACTTTGTTTATTTGGGGGAAGGGGAGGGAGGACTTCAAAGAATGCACAGCTCTGCAGTTGGAACTGAATAGGACATAGGGACATGCTTTGGGTTCTTTGTATTTTTTCACAGCAAACCACTCAAGCAGTCCACGCCCAGCCCATCCCCCTTTTAATTGGCACGCCACGAGACTATATACCTATTCTGGGCTGTGAAGACTTGGGCTGTTTTTCCTCTTACCTAGCTGCTTGAGTCTTGGCAGAATTAGGCAGTGCAGGCTTGTGCCCGGGTATGTGTCTAAGACCCAGGGCCTTACAGCTTTGCTGTGCAGCCCTACCTAACTCATGGTGATCCTCCTGCCTTAGCCTTCCAAGCTCTGGAATACAAGCATGTCTGGTGGTGTGACTTTGCTCCTGAAGGTGGTTTCTTAGGTGTCCCTTCTGGCCACATTCATTGTGGAACCAACGCTTTGAGTGTAGAGACTCTTGATTCTGAGACAGATAAGTGTTCTCACCTGTGACCAACTTAAAGTCAGTATATGAAGGTCTCACCCAGTGTGGCTTTTCACATTCTATGACGGTGCATGAGTACGATCAGGCAGGGGAGACCCTGACAGAGTGGAATGTCACTTAATATGACAACCAGTGACTTGATTTTGAAGAGGCATATGGAAAGATAGAGTGGGGGGAGGGTCTGGACTGCGGTCATGGAACTTTGGCTTCTACTCTCCCCCCTGCCAAAAAAAAAACTCCAACAAAACAAAACTGGGACCAATGTTTTTGACTTTGCTTTTTTGGGTAAGATTCCCCCTCTCCTTCGACTATGGGCAAAACTCTTCATTTGGGGGGAGAAGAAAAACTGTTTGAACCACACCAATGATATTTCATTTGTAATACTTGAAATTTATTTTTTTATTATTTTGATAGCAGATGTGCTATTTATTTATTTAATATGTATATGGGAGCCTAAAAATAGAAAGCTGTATAGACTGGGTTTAATTGTTTACTGGTTTGGGGCCTTTCAATGTGTGGTTGATGGCTTTTGTGTTCTGTGTACTTGTCTCAGTCAATGACCTGGGAAGAAGCTGTGTCAGCTTTCAAACAGGGAATGCCTTTCAGAAATTTGTATATTTTGCAATTGCTAGACAAATAAAATACCTGGTTGAGATACACCCATGGAGCTTGTGTCTGGTGCTTTTGGACAGGCACAAAGTATCTTCTTTTTTTGTGCACGTGTGCGTGTGTGTGTGTGTGTACGTGTGTGTACATGTGTGCCACATGCCTGCTGTGTTCCCCTCCAAAAATAAATAAATAAATGTAATACATTTAAAAAATCAGATCAGATTTCAATAGCTTCTTTGCTACTTATTGGTTGGCAAAAAATGAGAGTTTGTGTTTTACTTCTGCGCTCCATGGTCTTCAGCTCCACAGAAGGGCAAAGTTGAAGACTGGATTGTGTGCGCCGAGTCTGAACCTACCCTAGTATAGCCCAGAAGTAGTCTTGATACCAACATCAGCCCTTCTCCATCCTCCCACTTTTCTAACCCTCTCCGAGAGGAGAACAGGCATCGTCTTTGCTAAAGAGGATGGGGCACCTCCTTGCTGAAATGACTCCTAGGCTTGTTAGGAACTGTGCCATGGGACAGAGCATTTTTTTCATGGACTTCCATGTTCCCTGAGTTCTGAGTCCTGTTTGACTGCACCCTAGGTGTTGGGTACAGGAGATACAGCTGTGGGCTTTGAAATCTGACCAAATGGTTTATGTTATCCTCCAAGAAAGCTAAAAGACTAGTAGGTTGGGATGTAGTTCAGGGGTAGAGTGCTTGCCTAGTGTGTGCAAGGTGCTGGCTTTGATCTCTAGCATATCCCTATCCTCAAGTAAAGTCCAAAATAAATAAAAATAAAGCTAGGTGTGATGGTGCACACCTGTAATCCCAGCACTTGGGAGGCTGAAGTGGGAGAATCACAAGTTTGAGGCCTGCCTGGACTATATAGTGAGACCCTGTTCATCATGGGAGAAGTTAGGACAGAGTTGGGGAGAGTGAGGCCTGCCTGGACTATATAGTGAGACCCTGTTCATCATGGGGGAAGTTAGGACAGAGTGGGGGAGAGGGAGAAAGGGGAAGGGGGAGAGGGGGAGAGGGAGAGGGGAGAGAGAGAGAAAGAGAGAGAGAGAGAGTATGATGTCTCTTCAGCTTGCTTTTTCCATTTTATATGGTCCAGGATTCCCTGCCCAGAGAGTGGTCCTTCCCATAGTTAAGATGGGTCTTCCAACATCAATTAACATAATTAAGATAATCCCCAATGGGCATGCCCAGAGGCCCATCTCTCTGGTGATTCTAGATTCTGTCAAGTTAACAATTAACACTGACCATCATACTAACTAAGGGATCATGAGACTAAAAGAGAGGGAGGACTGAGAGAGAAGAGGGGAAGGGGGACGGGAGGAATAAGCTCAAAATGCTTTATACACTTGAATGAAAGTATCTTTCTGAATCTCTACCGTGTACAATGAATACATGCCAATTAAAATATTCAAAATGACTAATAAATGATGTATGCAGATTTTCAAGTCCTGGCCCTTTAGGCTATGAGAATCTGCAATGGATCCATAACCTTCTGGCAAACTCTTGTGTCATCTGGGTGACTTTGGGTAGCTCCACATTAAGTGAACAGTGAAGCTTGAGTAACCAGGTAGGTGGATTTCCATTTATATATGAAGATGGTTCTTTAAGCAACATCTTATGCAGCCCTGGCTGGCCTCAAACTCCTAGCTATGTAGTTCAAGGTTGACCTTAAACTCTTGATCTTCCTGCCTCCATCTTCCCAGGGCTGGGATTACAGCTGTGCACCATCACAGCCAGTTTTATGCAGTGCTGAGGATGAACCCCAGGGATTTTTGTAAGCACCCTGTCAACTGAGCTACATGCCTAGCTCTGATTTCAAGATCACCTTGATCAAATTTGTTGCAGTTATTTTTGTAGCGTGTGGTTTTCTTTTGCTTACAGTGGTTTTTGATTACTTTGAACTCAAAATAGCTTTGTTATGGAATCTCAAAAATTCCTTTGCAGTTTCTTTTGGCTTTGTACCTTGACCTTTTCCACCTAAAACTAGATATTCATCCAATATTACTGTTCTTTTCAGTAGTCTGATTCAAACAAACAAACATAAGCTGATGTGTGTGGTATGATACTAGGATCTAATTAATGCTCCCTGCTCTCCAAATAGTTAAGCAAGCTTTCCAGTATGGTTTGTTAAATAAGTCTAAGTAAAGACATTCTTCAGTTGTGCCTGGTGAAGAGAGGAAAGTGAGACTGGAGTCCCAGTGAATCACCAATCTTGCCTGAAGTTTCTGGACCCAGAGTAGCCAGTACCTGGTCTGAGCCATCTGAGTCCTGAGATAGACACCTGCAACTTCATATTCTTTATTGGTCATTTCCCTGCAAGAAACCTTCCCAAGCAGCCCCTTGCTCACTGACCCCCCAACCCCCAGCTCTTCTATCTCACTAGCAGGGGCCTTTACACCTCATTCTGTCAACCTTCCCAGAGGAAGCTGCTGACCACAGGTCGCTAGTCACGCTGCCTTTTGAAATGAGAGCGTTCACTGTCCCATCTGGTCTGGGACACCTGTGCCTTGTCCTTTTGAATAATGTGCTTCACCCCATAGCTAATGGGGCCTTGCTTGGGGACAGCCCTGACTATGTCAATCCCTACTGATCAGCCTTTTGACCTCCTCACCGAGACCCTAGCCAAAGGGTATTATGCCTGAGCAGTTAGAAACCAGAGCTTATCCCTTTGAATTCAGTGGTTTTTAATCAAAGTTGGACAATGCAGTTGCCTCGTGAGGTCTCATTCTGGGAGGTTGTGATTTATCTATCATCTATCTATCTATCTATCTATCTATCTATCTATCTATCTATCTATCTATCTATCTATCTATCTATCTATCTATCTATCTTCTATCTATCATCTATCTATCATCATCTATCTACCTATCATGTATCATCTATGTATCTATCTATGTATCTATCTATCTATCTATTAATCATCTGTCTATTATTTATCATCATCTACCTATTTTTATGTGTGTGGATGTGTGGTGTATGCATGTGTTTTTGGTGCATATACAGGAATGCATGTGGAAGCCAGAATAGGGTGTTGGGTGTCCTTTATCATTCTGGACATATTCCCTTGAGACAGGGTCTCTCACTGAAGCTGGATCTAGGCTGACAGCCAGCAAGTCCCAGTGACCCTCCTGTCTCCACCCCCTGCCCCAGTGTTAGAATTACAGGTATGCATAGGGCCTCACCTAGTTTTTTTAAGTGGGTGCTGAGCATTTGAACTCAGGTCCTCATGCTTGTGCAGCAAGCACTCTTGCCCACTGAGCATCTCCCTAGTCTCATTTGTAATTAACAATGCAAAGACTCAAAGCATTCTGTGTTGGGGGAGGGTTTGCAGTACCCTGTGTGATTCCGAGACTGACAGAGAACCTCTGGTCCAGACAGAGTCTTATAGGTAAAGGTAGAGTGGAAGTGTATCTATCTGTAAGATGTATCTAGAATGGTTAGGCTCAAAGATACAGAGAACAGAGTGGTGCCAGCGACTGGGGAAGGAAATGATAGAGGGTGCCTAAATTTTCTACTGTGGAAAATGAAAAAGTTCTAGAGATCCGTGTAAGATGTGGTTAACAATGCAGTATTGTGGACTTTAAAATATGTTAAGAAAGGGCTAGAGAGAGGACTCAATGGTTAAGAGCACTTGTTGTTCTTGCAGAGGATATGAATTCAGTTCCCAGCATCCACATGATGCTCATAACATCTATGACTAAAAGTTCCGGGGGACTTGATGCCCTCTTCTGACTTTTGAGGGCATAAGGCATACATGTGGCACACATACATACATACATACACACATACACGTACATACATACATACATACATACAGGAAAACACTCATACACATAAAATAAAAAAATAAATCTTTTTTTAAAAAAATAAAAGAAGATACATTTCAAGAGAATTTCTTAACACATATACAAAAAAGTCCATACAAACAGGAAACTCCCCACAGAACAACACAAGGGCATTTCTGGAGGTGATGGATATGTCAATATCTTGGTTAGAGCAAAGCTACCATGAGTATATGTATAATGGGGGGGGCGGCATGGGAAAGGGTCTCCTTATATAGCCTAGTCTGGCCTCAAACTCATGAGCTTCCTGCCTTGGCCTTCTCAGTACTGGGATTGGGATCACAGACACATACCACCACACATCTAGCTAATATTTTTTGTAAACCAGTTATCCAATAAGAAACACACACACACACACACACACACACACAGAGGAATATGTATGCAAACACACACACACAGAGGAATATTTATGCAAACACACACACACACACGGGAATATGTATGCAAACACACACACACACATACCACACCATAAACATATATAAAATAAATAATTTTTAGAAACTCCACCAGATTCTCTTGCAAGTAACTGTAAGTTGTATGATGCAGCCATTTTTACTTGGTCCACAGGACAGAGGCAGGATCTCTCCAACCTCTTCTACCCAGAAGGGCCCAGGTTTGGTGAGAGGAACTCATCAAAGTGGGGCATGGTTTCTTACAGGGTCAGTGCATCTCTTCTTTCCTCATAGCATGATGTCATCCTTCTCCAATGTCTCCATCTCACGAACACACACATAATGAAGTCAAATGGTCGGAGATGTTTTTCTGGCAGGTGGAAAGCAGGGACAACCCAAAGTATCAAACCACCTGCCCTGTCCCCTTGAGGCAGAATCTCTCTAGGTTGCTCAGGTTAGTTCAGAAATCTTGGGTTCTAGTGATCTCCCTACCTCAGCATCCTGAGTAGCTGGGCCTATACACATGTGCCACTCTGCCCTGCCTTCTTCCTATCTTTTTCTTTTTTTTGGTCTTTTTTAGACAGGGTCTCCCTGTAGCCCTAGCTGGCCTGGAGCTCACTATGTAGACCAGGCTGGGCTTGAACTCACAGAGATCGGCCTGCCTCTGCATCCCTAGGGCTGGGATCAAAGGTATGCAGCACCACGCTGCTCCTTTTTCTTTAAGTTCTATTTATTTGTTTGTTTGTTTGTTTGTTTATTATTTATTTTTTGGAGCAGTGTTGAGTTTCTTGACTAGAACCCCCCT